GAATTGCTCTCGTTGTGTTAACCCTTCCCTCGAGTTAACCCCAACCTATATATACTAAACGGCCTGCAGCTTGCCCTAGCCTTGGCCTCTACTCCATGCAAGATTCACTATTTCTTCAAATCTTCATGGGTAGATACAATTTCCTTATCTTCTCCTAAGAATAAGNAAACCTTNAAGTTTGAGTAAATCTTCTNCAAAGATATCCTCCAGCCTTCCTTGAGTGCAAGTCACGCCCTTCCTTGCTTGGACCGACTCACTCCAACAGCCCATCACGCTTAAANCCCACCAGCCTGTTCGCCCTTCTCCTGAAGTTCTCTCATCTAGTGCTGCTACAGGTTCCTGCTACAGCCACTCCATCTTCACTACTTATATTCTAAAATTTCATAACCAAATATAAACTTAAAGATCATCATTAACTACATATAATTTCAAAACTCTTATTAACAAAAAAAAAAAAAATACAGTCGCAAAGGTTTCGATAATATAATGCACCGTCATTACTCTACCAGAAGTGGACAAAATTTCACACGGATGAAAATGCAGGTTGCTAAAATTGTTCGGTAAAAACCAGTCGATATAATTCAATTAAGAGAGTACATGAGATGATCATATTTGAACTCGTGACTAGTATACAAGATAAACCACCACAGTAAAACCATAAAAAGAAAGAAAAAAGAGTTTAACAAAATAATGCATGATGTGAAATCTGTCGTTCAAAACGTTGAATTTGTGTTGATGAACACATGCATGTGATAATTTGTCTTATACAAAAAACTCATGTTGTTGAAAACAATCTACCATATATATAATAAAATAATAATTGGAAAAAAAAACGTCATAAGCATGAGTACATATATAAAAATAGTGGAATTATTGGAAAATTTCAACATGAAAAGTAGTGTTTGTTTACAGCTATTTACAATCCAACCATATATGTTTTGGGTTTCCATAAGAAAGTCAATGGTTAGGTGCAAAACGATCATCGTCAATGACTCATATGTATGTATGACCAATCGTTAATTAATTGGGTCCATACCATATAACATCATCATACATCTCGCTGTATTTCGAAAATATAAATGGGGCCCACAGAGTCGGTTATACCGTACTCTCGCCCGTAGGATATTCCAGCCTGTTCTTAGCCGGCTCTTAACTAATAGGGTCAAAAGTTTTTAAAAAAAAGACTGACGAAGTCAGGCCTTTACCGCACTTGTGGAGGGGGTAATGACACGTGTCAAATCGGAGCTCCATCTTCAACAGTAAAACTTGGCGGCTCCGTCGCAGAATCGCCGGGAAAATCACAAACGTCCGATGATTACGCTTTATTCGTTCTTATCCATGCTTAATTCTTTTTTTTTTTTTTTATAGTATATATTTAACAATTAACACAATAAATAAATCATCCACATTCTAGGCACTACCACCATGTCCCAAGAAAGGAAAGAGTACGATTGCAATTTATATAAACTTTGTTTTACATGATAATATATTATAAGCATGATG